ACGGAGAGTGCGTTTGTCGTCGTTTTTACGGAAATTAACGACATCTGAGCATAATGATATGTTCACTGATTAATTTCGGGCCAGTTTCCCGTTTTTTTTACTAATTCAATCGCGATAATTTATGAATTATGACAATAACTATATTATTGACACAACCTATTACATATATATATATATTAGATATATATATATATAATTGAGAAGTACATAGATTTTCTTTCCAAAATCAAGAGAAAATGAAAAAGTAACGTTTCGTTTCGCTACAACAGACGAGTCTGAGTTAATATGCGTACCGTATGGACAAATATATATCTAATAGATAACATCGTCGCTTCTTCTATAAAATATTCGACAACCTTGAGCGGAGTATTGCTATTGAAGGTCAAGGACAATATGCATAACCTAAATAGAATATATATATATATATATATATGTTAGTTAGGCAACAAATGCTTTACAGGATAGCAAGTTACATTGCAGTTACTTAAGATTTAGAAAGTGTCAACAGTAACTGCATTTTGTACAATCTTTTCGATCTGTTTGATCCAAATGCCTGACAATGGGTTTCTGTTTGATCCAATCAGGGAACAGAGTTAAGCCATCGGCCGTGAGAATCGACGCGATTTACGTATTTCTTTTTCTTACGTACGAGGTCAGGAACAGGGTCAGCACGTCTGTTTCCGAAACGTTTTCAACAAAGAGGCTCATCGATTCTATCAAGCGAAGACCACCTCGAAGCTAGCATGGGACACTAATCACGTTCAGGTTTGTATAGTTTAACAGCTCTCTAATTGATCCAGCTGACATGAGCGTCCCGAACGATGAACGTTTCATAAAATGCATGCAGCAAGCTGAAATCCGATTTCCATTGACTGTCCATAATAGCAGTGCAGAAGATATACAGATGGGTCTGATGTGGCAACGCCAATAATCGTATGGCAAAACTACGCCAGCAATAGGTTCGCGGGAGACCAGCTACAGTTTCGCCTCTCTGTCTCTTTACTGAATGTGCTGCGTTAAGGAAACCAGATTATTATTATTACTGTCATAAGACGGAAATGGGAAGTTGCGTTACGTTAACAGAAGGTGTTCTCTGATTCGGCTGTACTGCTGCACACGGTCCCGTGTTCCTTCTTTATTGCTTAATATAGTTTGATGTTAGCAGCGGCCGCTGGGTGGAGGTGCTGTTAGGTCAAAGGTGGTGGCCTGATCAGCTCAGGTCGACTCGTGGCTCACACGAGAGAGAAAGAGGGACAGAGCAAGACGGTCGAAACACAGGCTAGATCCCAAATGAACGAAGCCATCGCAGATGTGTGTGCCATAGTAATAATAATAATCGATAAAGTAGAAACCTTGATCAGTGAAAGGAATCAGTTTAGCGGCACGTCCGCCCTTCATGTCGGCCAGCCTTGGTCGTGGACGTCATCAAGAATCTTCTGACATGGATGATGATTGATGCCAAGCCCTTTAGCACGTTTCGAGTGCGCACCGCCGATCGACTCCACTTTAAGGCCGATGAAATGTTCATACAGAAATAAGGTTTTAGTGAATAATAGGCGTGGATAATTATGAAATCGAGTTTAGGTCTGTTTTATGATGCTTCGTTATTCGCTGATAGAAAGCGGGTACGTAACCATCACCGCCAACAGCCAGCGTTCCAGCGTTAACGCAAGCCTACAACGCTGTTATTTGGCAAAGAAACCCAAATAAAATACAACCGTGGTTTCCCACCTCCGCTTCCTCTAATCGCTTCCTGCGAGTTTTAGGATAATTTTTCGCCTGAGAGGTTTCATGAGTTTTGTTTATTACACGTTAGTGATATCTAATTCACAGGCATTAAGGTACGGCATATTAGTTTTGGTGCTCAAAGATGCGCGTGTTATAAAACATACCTATTCGCCATTGCGAAGTTGACGTATCGTCGAGCCTGTGATTCTGACGAGCCAGCTATGAAGAGCTAGTCGATGTTTGTTAGTGGACGCACGTTAGAAGGTTGTGAATTACGCGTACGATGCTACCCCAAAATCTGTGTGGTAGAGATACACTAAAACAAATACACTCGACGAAGTATGCTTTATGATATCGCATTAATTAAAAAGATGAGTTAGCTATGTTTAACTGCTAAGAGCGTACGTGGGTAAAATTAAGTATAAAACCCCCTCAGAGAATTACGATAATATAGTAACGCGTACCTCAGAGTGTAGACTATAAGATAGGCATAGCACATACAGCGCGCTCAAATGAGCTGGTAGACCACAGTTGTCACCGTATTTGTCATCGGGATGTTCAGTGCAGAGATAGTTGAAGAGGGTTCTCGTTTGTTAAGCTGTATAGTCGTCCGTTCTTAAGACATGGGTTTGTAACAGCAGCTAGACTCAAAAGGTAACCACTGCCTACGATACGTAGTCTGTCGTTATTTCCTCGATTTCAATCGATGAATATTTGAAACGTATTCTTTTGTCTACCATGATAGCTGATAGTTGAATCATATGGCTACCCCGAAAACTTTGAATTTTAACCGCATACACAAAAGACCTATGCTATAGTGTAGTCGTAGCGAATACATTGCGCGGTGCAATGGTTAAAACGAGTGGTGATGTTGATGGAACAAGGTAGGCCGATTTGACTAGCACCGCTATATTTACGCGCCTATGGCGCGTAATTGAGTAAATTGGTACGGTCAATAGAGTGACCACGCTTTCATCCTCACGCTGGTTTTCTGCACGTAGGTGTTAGGCAGGTTAAGAAAAAGGGGCGGATGTAGATTTGTATATGTTACATAGACAGGGTAGATCATCGACGGCAGACAGCTGCACAAGCACGGCGTAAGAAGCAGCACCGACAGCGTCTGCGCCCACGACCATATGGTAGGCGCAGGTTGGTGCCTGCGTAGCTGCATAAGCGAAACTGTGTGCTGGTATCACTAAGAAGCTGCGATTACCGCTGCTTTCAATCCTATCGGGCATTCAACGTGTCCTAACATGTCTACGGCTGACTCGTTTTGCAGTGGATTCATTGGCATTGTAAGATCTCGCAGATAGGTGAGGCGGAGTAGTCGAACAACGGAACTTACTTAACTAGCCACGAGGAGGGCAATGCAACATCTTTTGTCACCCGCCCATATTTATATGGTTAAAACAAGGTAAAAATATGCTTCAATGCAATGAATATTTGTTATTTGTCGGTTGTTTACTAAGACAAGTGCTACATTAAACTGTTCGTTTTTATAGTATTGTGATGACGTAGCTCTTCCGTACGGCACCGCTCAAAAGCAACGTGTGAGAAACTTGATGGAATCCTCAAACAACGATGGTCTACATATTCAGAAGAGCTACCTGTTAACAATGCCGTTAACAAATAAACCTCACCAAAACTACCTCATCGAAGTAATTCCTAGCGTCCTAGTTGTCCTAAAATCTAGAAAGTTCAAATACTTTTCCTACGTTTGCTAAAGACGGCTCAGGTAGCCACCGTTCAATATTAACGCGGCATCTTCGTCGAACCCATTTTTTACGCCTATTGAACAAGGATGAAATGTTATTATGGATCGCTGGTTCGTTTAACGACTGTTTGTCAAACGGGCACGCCCGGTATTGTGATAATATAATAGCATTATTCAGAAACCCATGGAACCGAGCTCACCTGAAGGTTATCATGGCAATTGCTAGTAAGTTACCCTTGCCAAAAAGTGAAGCAACGGAAAGACATGCAAATAACAAATACTTCGCTAGAGCTGATGATAGCGTATTGATCATCAATATTTATGTTGCACTTCGCGTAGGTCTTCTCTATATATAGGTCATATGTAGGACAATATACGTCAGCACATGCTATAAAACCTAGCAGCCTTTTTGTCCACGAGACGCATTTTTCTAGAAAGAAATTAAACTAGCCTATGAATAGGTTCTACACGAAATCGTATAATACTATCCTATTAGTGGCTATCTCTAATCAAGGGTCACAACAAAGGATTTCTTAGAGGCCGAAATCAAAGCGTAATCGTAGCTAAAAATAGTAATCCTATTGAACTTTACGTAAAACAGAGTCCTGGTTGAACGGCAAGTTGTTATTATTCTATCAATGATTCCATCGAAACTGTATTACAACGAATAGAGAACATCCGATTGTGACCTTTCCAACTGCATTTAAGTTACTTATAAAGGATACCCAAAGTGGATGTCAATGCTATCGCAGTACCATAAAAACCAACTGTATCTTGCTGGATCTAGCTTGGAAGTTACAACGATACCTAAACTAGCTCTCGCAGATTCTACGATTCAAATTTCTAACAATTCCTATTTTTCATCGCAGCAGCAGCAGCAGCAGCAGCTGCTGCTGCTTCTTTTGTCCAACGTAAATGGCCTCGTTAATATGCTGGCAACAAGCAAATGGTTAAAATGATTTTTTGTATTTTATATGATCTTGATTTCGACCTTAACCTGGCCTTAATAGCTAATCGTTGTCTCTTCCAGGTCGCGTGGTGGTTTACTAGTAAATTATGTGGAAGTGCTCCATCCAGAAGGTTGTGCACGTTGGAAGAACCTCTAACTTGAAATAAGTTTTGCACTATCCTAATACATGTCTACCTACGAACCTGTCGCTAGACGCTCGCATAGTTTGATATCTGATTTTAAGATTAAGATGATTAGTTCAAGTGCCGCGATACGAAAATTCGTTTTCGCAACGAACACGAACCGCTTGAGCGATACGGGAAACATAATTCATCAAACTAACTTTGAGTGTAATAAAGGAGTTAAATTATATTATAGTTCTATATACGTCCTGATGTGCATAGTGCAGGATTCACTCCAGTCTTATTGGCCACTCATCCAATCAGGCTCGCAAGGACAAATCTCTATCGCAACCTAAGGACGACGTACGAGGTCGTCTTTAGGCTGATGGATGAGCCTGATTCTGTGACGGCCGCATAATAAATAGCTGTTCTATTAAAAAGAGCATCAGACACATTCTCTTTCTGTGAAATGAACCACTCGTTTATTTCAATATCGTTGAATAATAACAGTAATTATTGTTATTCTATTAATAGTACCTTCATAGAAAACAACAAGGTTTGATTAGGCCCTTAGTTATCTATCATTTTTTCCTTGTCTTGTCATTACGATGTAGCAGTGGTGGTAGTAATAATATTAATTATAATAATTAATGCCAATCTGTGGTATTGATAACAGTGACCGTATCGTTTCATTTTGCCGGCATCTTTGTTGTATATTACTTTCTCAGTCACTTTCTTGTTCGTCATAATATTGCTGACGATAACAATAATAACAGTAATAATGTTTGTCCTAGTGATCATAATTAGAAAAGCCTTTTTTTTTACCTGTTTCTTCTTTTAATTATCGTCGCTATTTTCAGTCTGGCCTAATTCTGTTACTGTCGATGTTACCCGTGAAAACTGCTGAGGTTACCGTACCAATTATTAACACTACTAGTCGAGCTAATGGTCATCTCCGCTTGCAACTACCATTTGATTTCGTACTGCGATATATAATATTGTTAGTATCATAATCAGTAACGGTAATATATGACTAATCCGTAAACCAGCTGATAAATCCATCTAGAATACGACCAGCAGACCGAGATTCTCCAGCTGGCTTTCTAGCACACGACCGAGCTACCGAGTACGACCTCGCTTTCGTTCGCTTGATATCGTTCTATCTTTATTTCCTAATATAATATAATTAGAATTCCCTTTTAGGAGCACTCGTGTATTCAGTCGTTAACCTTATAATCGGCTGCAGCTCCATATACTTGCTACGACCTTCTTTTTCCACTATGTTAGTATTAAAATTGTAGCTGATTCGTTAGACTTTGCCGCTATCGACGTACTTCGTGCTTGTTGTCTTTTCGTCTTAAACGCATTTCCTTCTCATGCCATCTCTATCGGCGCAGTGAAAATCGATATTTCCGTATAGCTTATTCTACATGCCTAAAATTTTCCATCATTTTCAGCTGTCCTATGTGTTCGCTCGTCACCATATTGATACAGCAACTGTCCCTTCAGGAAGCACAACGTTGTCATGACGCACCGTGTGTGCAAACGAAACACCCATCCGAGGCGTCGTGTACTCTACACAGCTGTACTCGTGTACAGCTAGTCATATATGATCATAGACCTGCACAATACGTTGAGTAGTTGTTGTTGTTGTCTATTACGTTAGAGTATGTCTTAACAATTAGACGTCGGAAAGAAAGGAGTCAACGCGGACGGGCCTGTATAAGTTTGGGTGATTTGTCTGTGTGTGCGTCTAATCAGCTGGTTACGGGCCCGCCCTGTAAACAACGTCAACATTGATTGATTAGACATATAGTAACTGCCGCCGCCGCCGCCGTTGTCGTCATCACGGTACATTGGTAAACATCGACGATAGGCATCGACAGGTAAGGATCGTGCCACCACGCCGTTTCCTGTGGTACCATCATAGCCGGTATATTCTGTTGTTTTTATCCATTATCAAAAGTGCTTTTTCCTTCTACTTTGGTGACAGGCAGATTAGTGTCGCTGCTATAGTATTTTATTTGCACGTATTACGTCTCACGCAAATGTCTCACAGCGTTCAGCTCGCGCTGTTGGTAAGTGCGTTATTACTAAGTACCGTAGCAATTCTTAAGCCAAATCGTACAGAATTAATCTTAATTACATTGTAATGTTTCTTCCATCCGTGTTGAAGTTCACCTCTTCATTCAAGTTATTGAATTCGCTTTGTGCCGTTCTTGTGAAGCCGCCCGATGGGCGTACGCATGACGGAAGCGAAAACGTTCTGCTATTTTTTTTTTTTATAATTCCAATTAGATATATTTTATTTGACATCAGAGTCACGGTAAGGGACCAACGGCTGCACTTCGTCCCTTCGACCGCAGCAATGCTAACCATCTAAAGACAGGCAGAATCGCTTTACATCATCCGCAGGCCTATACGTTACTTTCGCTCCGTCTATATATATATAATATATATATGGCCTCTGTATGTATCTTCGTATCGAGCAAGACGTTGTCTGAATTGGCTCGATCATACCGGTGCTTGCTGTCAATAGACTTGATGACGTACCTGATTCTCAGACTGTCGATTTGTGTCAAGTGCGTACGGAGGACATTGCTTTAACTATTCTTCCGAGGTCGGTACTTCGTATGCAATTCGCCGTAGTCCACATGTGTTATTTCTATTTGTAGTTACCATTCGTATTTGGGCATCGTAATCGGCACTACTCAGCTTTAAAGTTGTTTGGTTCGGGTATTGATGTGTGTATTTCTGCGATGTTTCATTCAACCTGTCTACTACAGTCGCTTTCATTCTCCTTCTGACTTTACAGAGGATTCTAGAGATTGATTATTTTCGTGCTTTAGTCGTTTCTCTTGAAAATTGTCACCACCGATCAATGATCCTAACCTTAAGCTAGTCTTCCGGGCCGTACGAGATCCAAGCAAATGTCACCATCGTTCCCATGAAGCTGCCCGCTCAGATTTTATTGTGTGTCCGTGATCCTTTTGATTCGACTCGTTTCTCCCGAGCAGCATACGTCGAATGTAGCTCAGTCTACGCGATGCGTTTTGTCTAGTTCTAGCAGCTTACCATATTATTGGTTAATAGAGTATACTATATTTATATAATACGAAGCACTAGCAGGATACTCGATGCTATGAAGAGCCTTACATCCTCCCCCGCCCCGCCGCTGCCACCTTCAAATTTTTGAAGGTCGTGTACAAAGTCGTCGGAGAATTCGATGATGTTCACTTACGAAAGCCTGTATCTACATATGTATGTGTCTCTCTCGCAGAATCGCGCAGATACCTGCTCGTCGCTAAGGACAACACAGAGCAGCAATAAAACATAGCCTGAATTGATTCGGAGAAAAGTCCATTCTAGTTATAGCTTTTTTTCTTTTTTTGTAAATGTGTACCACTCCCGCTATCGCCTTCACCGACTCACTTGTTGTTAGTTCGTTAGCCGCCGCCGCTGCTAACTAGACGCAGCAAATATATTTGTGTGCACGTTTTTCAAAAAATATGTAATTAAATAAGTGAAGCAGTCCAACAATTGGCAATGGTACTAATTGATTTTAGGAGACAGCGTATTGTACGCTACATAACTGTTTTAATACGAGAAAATTCACTAATGATTCGATCCGTAGAATACTATAGGGCCACCGTACAGCAGTATTGTTTCAAGGATAATTTGTGTGGCATCAGTTTATATCCCCGACCCTTTCCGGTAACTAATAATTAAAGGCTACGCAATGAAATGCATTTAGGGGTAATAATAGATCAAATCCTGCTGCTTGTTATTTACCTACTGTAGTAAAATAGCAAAAAACTTTGAGACAATTACATGCAAGCTTAACTATTTGGATTAATAGCGTAAATATCTAACGTTTCTGATAAGGTTATTTCGACTTGGTTGTTCATCAGAAACTTTCAAAAATCCTTTGTCAATAGGGGCTAATTTCGTATCGGTGTGAGCGCTTCCGTTAGCTGCTACTGCCTAACCTAGATACTCGAAGTATTCATTTGAAGGTCTCTTATAGGAAATTAAAACTAATATATATATATATATACTATTGCTAAACTGCTAGCTAAACTAGTTCGGCTAAAAAGCACGCTGAAAAATCACCCGCCGCATCGTATCGAGATATATAGCGCGATGCTTATTATTACATTAAAAGCAATTAGAAAATGCTACATCAGTATGTTTCATAACGACATCTACAGGCACTACGTAGAAAAATTAATCTTATATTACATATATCCTGCACAACCATCGTACAGCTCTCAGGATATTTAACAATAATTGTTATTATTGGAAAAAAAAAAAAAAAAAGTGTCTAACATGTAGCTAAGGTTTAAACGTGGCGCGTAACGTAAAACTTTGGTGTCACAACATGAGCGTCTGATGTTCGCGCCGTCAAGAGAGCCTAAAACACTTTTTGATGTACTTAACAGCGTATTTGCCACATCGTAACAATAAATAACGCTCTGCACATTTCGGATGTATATACTGAACGGTTACTCGTTGTTAGCAACAATGTAGCAAACAATCATTTTTAATTTCGTCTGCTAATACTGATAGAAGGTTGTCGGTCCGTTTTAATCCGCCATAGAACAAACTACATAAAAATATCTAGCTAATACCTAGCTTTACTAGGTACTGCGTTACATTGGGACTGAGTGGTTGTCGCCATTCGATTTTGTGCGGTACCACTATATACAATGTTCGCTTGTTATTGACCATGAACGCCGAGACCCATGGCCTTCTTTATTTGTTGCTTGCACTCAGTCTCAAGCAAGCATACTACGCGTTTGTATGTATGTCTGCACTGTTCTGTTACTTAAACCAATTTAAAGCGAATTAGGACCTGCTTGGATTCCGTGAACCTTTTTGTTCCATTGGACCTGTCCACTTCCCACAATCCTTCCTGCTGCACCGTCATCATGCAACTTTTACACAATCATGTTATTTTCGTAATTCAATCACGTCGCTTTAATCGTTCCACTGTTCGGTTACCCTGATTGAGATAATTTACAATCGGGCCCTAATTAAGTAGCTCTTTTACATACTTGCGTTAATTATATCGTGATCCCGCGCTGTTAAGCCGACGTTGCGCTGCGTGTTATACCTTGACGTTATTGTCCAGCATCAAATCAGCATTTTCGAAATTTTTGGTCAACGTTAGGACGTTCGAGAAATTTGGGTAACATGTAAACACATTCATATTTTTTAAAAATGGAGCCAATACTATCTCTAACGCTAGTACAAAAAATGTATAAGAACCCCCTATTTTTTTTAAAAAAGATCTAACATTGTGTCTATCGTCTAGAGCTAAAAAATGAGTAGCTTTTAATTTCGATCTCTCAAAATCTCCACTGGTCTTGAGAAAAACTGCCTAAAAATGCTATTTCTTCTCAGTTCTTACTAGTGCCTCTTAGGAGATCTTTTTAACACAAGACTATTTCTCGCACACATGCCATTTTCACCGCTCGGTCTTCCTTACCGGTTAAGTCTACCCGCAAAAAATCACAGACGTCGTTAGAATCGTCTGATAGTCGTTAAATGTACACATGTGAGTTGGGGCTGATATAATTGCCGCAGATAAGTATAGTTCAGATCATGTTAAATTCATCATGATAAAAAAAAAGTTAGGAGTTAAAACTTGTAGGGAAAATTATCAAATAGAAAACTTAAAAGATCTGGCTTTTTGGAGGTGCGTAATTGCGCCTGTCAGTTGAAAAGGTGAAAACATGTTTGCGTAGAAGAGATTAGGCTCTGTTTTTTTGATCTCGATTCGTTGATTAAGACAACTAATAATAAGTCAATTGATGAATATTTGTTTTTCAGTTCTAAAATACAATTGCTCAAAAGCTTCTAAACGTATCAGATATTTACGGCCGATAAACACTGGCCTAGATGAACGGACTCATCAGTAGAAGTTTAAATGTCTTCTCTCTTCGAATAATAAACCCAAAATCTGTTGGTTCATATCATCAAAATGGTCAAGCAAACATGTCCCTTAACATATGCGTACTATCTTCATCTGTTGTGCCTCGGCATCGTAATCGGTAGCTCGGGCCCTATTCTGCAGACTCTGGAAATATCTAGTATTTATAGAAAATGTATATCACTTCTTTTTCGTTGACGTGAAGTCGTAGTATAACTAATAGTAGCTATTTTAATCCCTTACAGTTAAAATTACTCTGTCCATATACATCTGATCGTAGTTGAAAGTTTCCATGTTATATTTTCAATTTCAAAAAAATTCAATATGATTAGGAAAGTTATGTGTTTCCTTACTACGTTCAAACCCAAACTAGGTAAGGGGAAACTTGTTTTTTCATTGGTTTTTTTTTTCAATTTTTTTGAATAGATTTTCTTTTTTAGAATTTTTCTAATAGACTTTTTACACGATCAAATACTCGTCAAAATGATATCTACCAAGCCTCTTGTAACCCTTGCATTTGACGAAAACGAGGAATATCGAGTTGTATGATTTTCTCGAGCTCTGTCTGAAACATGTTCTATGCGTCAATGTTATATATACATAAAGTTATGCTAAATAGTGAATATCGCATTAGGATATATAGGATAGATATTTTATCGCACACAAATATTATAGTAAACAGGGCCTATCAACGTTTGTTTTATTGTGACTGAAGAACGAGGAGAGGAAAGTAAAACATGATTCCATGTAATTTTTTCATTACTTCCTAATGCCACCACCATCATTGACCAGCAGTGAGCTGGGTGTTAGTAGTAGCAGTACCAGGAGCAGGAGTGTAAGTGAAAGTGGTTATTTTTGAACCTAATAAAATATCATCCTTATTTTTGTACAAGAATAATATAGGATATTATTCTTAGCGTCGTGGTTAAATCATCTTTTTTTAAATATCATCATAGATATAATAATTATTATATTGATATATGCACGTCAGTATCTGTAAGTAACAACGACAACCGTAATCGGTAAGATCATTGAATAGGAAATTCCATGTCATGCACACTACCTATATACCTGTTATATAGTTTTCATGCGATGATGTAATAAGCTAATGTTCCAGCTCATTAGCGTCTTTTGTGTATTTAT